CGTGTGCTCTTCCGATCTATTTTTTAAATAATTGTATATTTAAATCATTTCAAAAAAATTGTAGTTTTAGAAAGAATGTAAAATGCGACATTTTTTATGTACTTGGCATATAGTTTTTCATTTTTAAAAAAGATTTTTTATGGGATCTTACTGCTTTTTGTTAAATTATAATAGAATTTAAATCTTCTAAAAATAAACACATTATTTATAAAATTGTTACTTTAATTTAATATAAACTTTCTCTCAATTTCAATAGTTTATTGATTTAACTTTTTTATTCATTTATTTGTCTAAAAAAAATTTGTATACATTCTTAGCATTTCGAGGCCATTGACATGTCTCAATTATTAAATCATTTATGGATATCCATCTTGTACCTTTAGTTTGCTATATATTTGTGTAATGTCCATTATTTATGTTTCCATGATGAAAATTGCACTGTTAACTTTACAAATATTTTAAGCAATATGTATTTGTAATGTAAGTATATATTTAATATTAAGATTCGTAATCTTTGTAACTTTTTTATTATTTACTTAAATAATAATAATAATTAAAAAATGAGTATACGTTTGATCATTGTTACATTAGTCTTTTCAAGTAAAGCAGTGTTACAATTTTTGCATAATTTTTGTACATTATTAATAAATTAATTAATTAATTAAAATCAATTTATTAATTTATTTTATTTATTTTTAAATTAATTTATTATTTATGCAGGACAAAAGAAAAAGAGAGAGAGAGAGAGAGAAATACACAAATTTATTTATTTTATTTTGTATTACAATATTTTTTAAACAATTTTTTAAATTAATAATTATTAACATTCATTAGTTATTATTATTAATAATTATATCAATAATTAATTAAGTATTTTATATAATATTGAGCGAATATTTTTATAATTATTTATTGCTTGTTTAGCTAATTTTTATTTAATCTTAACCCTAAACTACTACACCATATTTGTCATCCAAATCTATCACACTGGATATAATTTACCTGGCCTATCTATTTTGTTGCGTAACTTCGGTTCGAATGCATCGATTTAGAACTTCTTTTTTTTTAATCTATACGCCAGACAGTAAGAAAGATGACTGAATAGATAGAACACTCAAAGATATTAAAAACATGAACAATTTGCAAAAATGTAAATCAGCTTTTATATCTTTTTGGAAAGGGCTGATTTTTCTTTTATATCGCAGTTCTTTTCAAAGGCAAATAAAAAAAATAAAGCATAGTTTCTAAAAGAACATAAGTGGGACAATCGGTCTAGTTCACTCGGTCAAATAAATGTTTTATTATTACGATATTATTACGATTATATATATATATATATATATATATATATATATATCAAAATCGATTATTAATTTTAACACGATTTTGTGAAAATTTGCCTTGAGGGACAGATCGCTTTGCGTGTATATGTGTATACGTGTGACTGAAGAATGCCACTTTTGAATAAAGTGACACTTTTCACGAACTCGATCTCAAGATCTCAATATTGACTGCACCAATTTTATTCGCAAT